ATGCTGCCGTCTACCTTACTCAAGTCCAAATTCTTTCACACCAGTTAAAGATGTTCAAACATGCCCACTAATAGAGTCTGGAGCCACCGCCTTCCCTTCTCTTCTCTTTCTGAGGGTGAACCTGCATTCTGACCACCCCTCCCTGGGCCCTAAATGCTGGAGGAGCTCCATGCTGGATTTCTCATCTTTGTCTTTGCTGGCCCTACATCCATACTAGACCACTCTCTCTTTAACCCTTTTTGTGGTGATAACTACCTGTGGGCCCTCTGACTCTTTCTGTTTCTCTCTCGATGTGGCATCACACCAGAAGCATCCTTATACCTCCTGGGCCAGTCCTTCTCATTTGGAGATGCCTGAATCGACAACGTGACTTTCACTATAACAGAGACTGTAGGTACACAGTGTACAAATACAGCCATCCACTCTAGCCTCTTTTAACTAAGCACACTCCAATGTGAGCTGCCAGTGCCTTCCCATCTCAGACACTCTCTAGATTTCCTTTCACTCAAGGAGTCTATAAAGACAAAACACCTTATGTTTTATTGGCTACACAATCAGGCTTAATGGCCCCTAAACCAGACTTGTGGTAAAAATATTCTCGGAGACTTGGATTATTATTGCTACAACAGTGGTAACTGGCTAGTAGTTCTACACATATTCAGGCTTTTCTTGCTCTCCATGTTTGTTCTTCCCTCTGCCCATCCTGTCCAGCTTTCCCTATCTTCCTGGCACATGGGTAGCAGCCCATCCCTGACAAGTCACCAGGGAGCCCAGAGATAGCCCAGAGACCCAGTGACTATCCAGTTCTCAATCGCCTCAAGATGGTGCTTCAGCACTATACTTAGCTGGACCCAGAGTCAAAGGAAAGCATCATTGTTTTTAAAACTCACTCTATGCAAAAAGGACCAATGATTGCCCTCAAGCTCCACAAGATCAATGAGCATGGCGTTTCAGGTTTTCAATAGTCAGGAATACCAGGAGAAGGCTGATAAGGCTGTTTGGAATTAGGGAAAGATCCTGCTCCTGGTGGCTGCTCTCTGGACTACTCATCCAAGAGGCACCCAACACACACCACCCAGCCTAAAACTTGCCCTGCTAAGCAACCACTGCCTGGATCCTGTGCAACCTGGGGTTCAGAGTCAAATGTCCTTCCATCTCTACAAGGTGGGCCATAACTCTAGCCAATACGTTCAAAATGGCAAACTGCCTTTCATTAAATCTAATTTCCCATTATCATTTAAATTAAACATAACATGTACCTTTATGGCAGGAGAGGTTACAGTTACTGATTGCCTTGCTTTATGGAAACAGTATGTATTTGCTAATCTTGGCTAAGCGTGCTACCTCAAAGTGGGTAGGAAATCGTGATTGTGGTAGGCTTACTGTGTAATGCTAACAGTATGAGAGTATCACAGCCAGGCAAAGATATTAAAAGAACACAAAATGAATTGGTCTCTGTGCCAAGCATCCTTAAAGTTCTCTAGTTAAAAGCTTGGCCTCTATGTAGTAGAGCAAAACACTGAGTGATGAGTGGTTGAATCATAATGGGTGTCTTCATGAATGGATTAATTCACTGGTAAATAAATATGGTATTTCTGAGAAAAGATTCTGATTTATTATTTTTTCCCACTAGATCTGGCAGTTGACTGCATGGCCGGGTGCTGTCCCTGACTTTTGGTGCACGAAGCTACTTTATTCACAGCACTGCTTCCCAATTTTTCTGGGTAACTGGAGCTAAGAGTCTCGCAGTCTCTTCTCCCTGGGCTGTACTTGTACACTGAACTTTGGATCTAAGCTACCTGGGACACTAGGATTACAGGCCTCAGCCACTGGCACCCAGCAAAGAAGGACTTCTCAAAGGCCTCTATCTCCATTCTCTTCTGTCTCTTTCTGTTTAGAACTGAAATGAGGTGAGCAGGTGACCTTACCTCATCACTGAGATACCCAGTTTTCTACCATGTTTTTCTTAACCTAGATCCCAAATAAGGCAGCCAGGTGGCAGTGGATAGAAAACTTAGACACCATGAGCCAAAGTGAATTGTCACTTAAGATTTTACTTTTCATGTAATGGAACAGTGATCAACTCTTATTCCTCATTAATAGTAGGATGCCACATCCTAAAGAAACCCTCTAGGGGTTTGGCTTACTAAGATCAACATTCATACAAAATATGCAAAGTTAAAATATAAAAGCAACATTGTAGTGAACATGAACAAGATAAACTTCAACTGATTAAGTACTTAAAAAGTCACCAGGCTTTGTATTTAGCTCTTTATAGTATGAGAATAACAGTGTTGTCTACCATCAATTTGAGATACTATCTCAAACAGAATGGAAGTTAAACAGGGTTGTGTTTGGCTCAATTGGTGTATCATCACCTATGAAGCCCAAGTCCCTGAGAATCATACTAACCTTTTATAAAACAAAAATATTCTCATTTCTAATTTTTGCATCTCAAACACACATTTCCAACAATGCATACACTAGCATTTCTTAAATAATAGGTATTTTTCACGAGTGCCAAGGGACATAAAATATCCAAAAGTGAATTTCAGTGAAATCATAACTAGCCATGCTAAGATCTTCTACTCTTGAAAATTTTAACAGAAACAACTTCTTTTTTTTTTTTTTTTTTTGAGTCCAGTCCTGGTCCTGAACTCTGGGCTAGGGCACTGTCCCTCAGCTCTACAGCTCAAGGCTAGTGCTCTACCCCTTGAGCAAAAGCGCCACTTCCAGCTTTTTTCTTTTTGCTTATGTGGTGCTCAGGAATCAAACCTAAGGCCTCATGCATGCAAGGCAAGCACCCTACCACTGAGCCACCTTCCCAGGCCTGAAACAACTTCTTTCACTTAGCCAATGGAATATAAAACAATAACCAGCCTATAATCCCAACAGTTTAGTAATCTACAACAATTTCATTTTTCTTTGACGTGATTTTTTTGTCCAAAGTTTTCTGTTTTATCACTCTGTAATGCCACAAGTTCAAATCAACACAATTATGACTCCAGTGAGGCTGAGAAACACAACAAATGTAAAGTGTTCTGTTATCTTTGTTTTATTTAACAAATGTCACCATATTAATGTTTTCGTACTTTTTAAATATCTCCTGTTAAATTTTCATCTGTATATTTTTATTAAAAATGAAATTCAAAGAAGACTTTGAAAATAGCATTACACATACAAAAATTTATTCTCCACAATACCTTACCATCAGACTAAACACCATGGGAATATGTAGAGGTAGTAAGAAGGTATAAAGGGCTTCAAAACTCAATCTGTATTTATGGTGGGATGTCAAACTTGAAAATGAGTGTGAAGAAATTGTGTGTGTGTGTGTGTGTGTGTGTGTGTGTGTGTATTTAACACTAGAAAATAAAATAAAAGCCTTTTAGCAGATGTAGATTGGAGTATCATGAACCAGAAGATCCTTCTCAGGTCAGAATGTGCTTTTGAAAATCAATTCTATTAGATGCCCCATTTGGCAGTGTCCCTTTATATTTTAAGAGATGTAAAAAACTTCCTCTTTTCTAAAAAGCTTAATGCCTCAAGACTAGCAAAGTGAATTAATTTCATATTTCATTTATAGTCAAGTTAGTGACTTAACATGTAGTGAACTCTTAGACAAAATGGAAAGACTGGCTGATATTTGAAAGCCAAATTTCACATCTGAACTCTGTGTGTGTGTGTATGAGTGTGTCTGTGTGTGTGTGTATGTGTGTGAAGATGTGTGTGTGTTGGGCTTATCGTCTGTCTGTCTGCCTGCCTGCCTAAACTCAGGCCTTAGGTGGTGCCTCTGAGCTTCTTTTGCTCAAGGCAAATCTGAGCCCCTCCACTGCTTCCATCTTAAGCTTTAATAAAAGCCAGCCTGCATAGGAACTCTTCAAGCATTGTTTTCTAATAAACACAAAGAAGGCTTAATCTGCCATCTCTAGGAATTACTTCTCATTCATTTATTAAATGGACTTATAATTCCTCCTCATGTCCCTTTCATTGCAAAACAGAAAGTATCTTTACCAGCTTCTCAGAACTGAAGGACCATGTCTGAGTTAATTTCCCAGAACAATTTAAGGCAGGAATAAAAGTTATTATGGAAAACTTTCTACACAGTTCACTCGTTTTATCTCTCTACTTCACATGAACTCTACTCTTTGTATATCAAGTTTACAGAAAGATCGCAGACATTTCTAGACATTCAAGCTGTATATTGTCGAATAGTTTTCACCCCAGACATAAGATTTGAGGAATGCCCAAGAAAAAGAGCTAAGTGGCCAAAAAGTGTCACCAGGTGCCATTTACTTCTGAGAGTCTTATAAAGCCAGACTACATGAGGTCTCATTTGTAAAACACAACCTAGAATACATAGAGCATAAGCAAAATTACTTGGAAATGTTGCTCTGCTGAAAAATAGAGAGAGAGTACAAAGGAAATCTTACTCTCAGTAGTAGCATTCTTTTCCCACTGGGCAAATATGGTCAATACGTATTAGCATCGCTAGTGTGTTCACACGGAAAGTGTCACTGTCCAAAAGGCTGAAGAAACTAAGACCAGGAAATGATTCCTTGTAAAGTTCAATTAAGACCTGACAATATTTATATTACCAAAATCGTCTCATCTCCAAGGAATGTAAAAATGTCTGCCCCAACCTGGTTAAGATGATTACTTTTTACAGTGACTCATCTTGTTAAGATGAGGACAGTTAGAGTAAGCATGCATTAAAGCTTTAATGACTAAAACTTCAGTACAGAGAAGGATTGGCTACTTTCTACAAAGCAACTTGTTGATGCCTTTTCATCTTTTTTCTTTTTGCTCATCTGTTAAAGAAAGAGAGTAAGATCCAGAACACTTTACTGAATAAAGCCTACAGAGAACTCAGTTGTATTTGTACATCAACAGCTGCCTATGACCAAGGATGACTGCCTTTAAGAAAGCCTCTTGCTTCACAGCACACGTTTATAAAGATCCGTGGACACACTGTGAGGGCAAGCTCTCATCTGTATGGCGTCGCCGTATGTGCTGGTTCTTTTCAGAGGGTCTTCGAAATCCTTTCTTGCAGTACTCACAGCGGTGAGGGTAGTCTTTTGTATGAATGGAGATAACATGCCGTTTAAAGCCTGAGGCATCTGTGGTGCTGTACTCACAGTGCTCACACTGAAACACTTTCCGACCACTGTGTGTATTCATGTGCTTTTCAAGCTCATCCTGTTGTTGAAATCCCTTTCGGCACCTCTTACATCTAAAGGGAGGATCCTTGGCGTGAACTGACAGAATGTGGCTACTTAGCAGAAATGGATCTGAAATCTTGAAGTCACAATGTCTACACTGATGCATTTTTTCATCTGTGTGGACAGTGGCATGTTTCTTGAGTTCGGAAGGCCTGTGAAAACCTTTACCACACATTTCACACTTATAGGGGTACTCCTTGGTGTGAACTGAAATTATATGTCTCTTCAGATCACCTGAGCTTGAGCTCCTGTGGTCACAATACCAACACTGGTGTCTTTTGCTTCCTGGGTTGATAAAGCCATGTTGCTGTGCTTCTCTAGTATCTGGGGAAGTCAGAAGATAAATGTCACCCTTAGATGGCATCTCTTTGCTGGGCTTAGACTTTGGATGTGTTTTCAAGTTAGAAGAGTCAGCAGACCCATATTCCCAGGACAAGTGCTAATAGAGCTCCCTCCACCACATCTCCCTCCTCCCTCCCACCCCCACCACCCATAATCCTGCCAATGGATTCTCATGTGGATTCTGTGCTCTGATAGGGGCTAAAACATTTTCTGCACCCTACACAATTGTGGGGAGAGTTCTTGCTAAAAGGTGATGACTCAATATCCCTTGTTAAACAGCTGTCTCACATGCACAGAATTTACACCTAAGTACCTTTTGGTGGCACTTTTTCTTTACATATCACTTTATAAGAAAACAAAAGTCTGAGAATGAGAAAATCTCATCCTACACTCCTGCACATGAACCACAGCTTCACTTGACGATTTGGTTCATTGTCTATTGGAGATAATGGTCTCATGTATTTTCCTGCCCAGGCTGGGTTATCTTGACAATAATGAGTGAAATTTGTGTGCATGTGGTTCATGATAATAATCCCAGCTACTCATGAGACTGAGGATCTGAGGATTGAGGGTCCAATCCAGACAAGGCAGTGAAGTTCCTGAGACACTTATCTCCAATTATACCCATGAGAGAGCTGTAAGGGATGTGCTGGTTTACTTCATTCAGTGCTAGACCCAAATGAGAAAAAAATACAAGAGGGCAAAGAAAGGAGAGCTAGCACCCTATCCATGTACCTTAGCTCAGTGGTCGATGACCTAGAATAAAACAAACAAACAAGAAAAATCCTGTGAGTTGAAACTCACAGGACCCCAAAAACAAATGACCAGACACATAAGGGGGTTTAGGAATTTTGTTTCATCTCCACTAAAATCAGCTTACAATTTTGATTCCTTTCCTTCATTCTGAACCACAATCAGATTTTTCCAAGGAAATGATTCATGACTCTCCCTGAATTCTAGAAACCCTATTTTCAAAAACAAAAACTACTTGGGGCCCATCAATTTCTTCTAAAATCTCACCTACATGTGGAGTGAAAACTACCCTTCCCTCACCCATTTGCTGTTGCTGGGAATCATCTCTCTTCCTTTTCCCTGGGTTTTGTTTAGCGAGTCGATCTTGGCCACCACACTCATCTACATGCAAGAGGGTACCTGCTCCAGGAGCCTGGTTTTCAGATCCATCAGAGATATCACCTAGTGAGTGAGTATTAAAAACATTTTTACAAAGTGTTATGAGGCATAAAACAGTAGGGACTCTTAGCCACAACCATGAAAACAAAGTGCTGACACTCATGAGTTACAGAAACTCCTTGTTTCAGTCACTGTGTCTTTTTAAAATTCTTATTTTATTGTTAAGGTGTGCAGTGGCAATAGAGGATATGCCATAGGGGAAAGAACATACAAAGAAACAACAATAACAACAAGTAATAAAATCACATAGTACTTTTAAAACAGTAACAATCAAGACAGACCGCTTGTATCCATATCCTTTCACTTGGCATCAACTTATATGGTCATTTGTACATGGTTTCTGAGCTTTTCCACTCATCTGATAAGATTATCCTATATGGATACTAATTATTGCAAAGAAGGGAAACCATGAGACCTAAATGTCCTTGGGACTGGTCAACTTCACTTAATATGATCTTTTCCAAGCCTTTCCATTTCCTAACAAAAGGGACACTATCGTTCTTTCTGACGGAAGCACAGAAATCCATTGTATATATGTATAATATCTTCTTGATCTACTCTTCTACTGAGGGGCATCTGGGTTGATTCCATATCTTAGCTGTGGTAAAAAATGCTGTGATAAGCATAGCTTTATAGCATAGTCTTATTTATGATCCTTTGGGTAAAAGAGCAAAAGTCAGATTGCTGGGTCATATGGGAGCTCTATGTGTTTTGAGGAACCTCCATACCGCTTAGGGACTCTTTATGGACACATTCATATCGAGACCAGGAAACGCCTTGCTTCCAAACCCAGCAATCTCCTAAAGAGGTGGTCAAGTCATGACACACGTACAAGCAAAATTATAAGCTAACACATTGAAAGTCTGTCCCTTTCTAATGTACCAGGAAACTCAGAGCAAAATGCATAGGGAAAAAGAAAACCCATCTGAGAATTCCTCACCTCTCCTTAAACCACCACAAATTCATTTCCCAGTGCTAAACTCTGAATAGCACAGATGCCAGTTTTTTCATTATTCAAAGACTAAATTCTTCAAGTACTATGTGACTTACCATAAGCAGCTGTCCATATGACTGGCATCAGGGCTTTCACTTCATTGTCACCCACTTGCTGTTCATGTATAGCAGAAGATGCTAGAGCTGCAGCATCTTCCTCTCCTTTAATCACATCGATATATCCTTCATCAGTAATTTCAACAAAACCTAAGTACAAAATTAAGTAAATGCACAAAAAGTTAGAGATATTAATCTCTAAGACTCTGCTGTAATTCATACTCTGATTTTTCATACAGAATCTTGCTAGCCCAGGCTGGCTGAAATCCTCCTGACTCAGCTTCCCAAAGTGCTATGAATGAAGGGGTATACCATCAACCCCTTCCATAAACTTTCAAAGCACCAATGTCGCTGGGAACCGGTAGGCTCATATGTGTAACCTTCATATGTGAAGATCTGAGGTTCAAAGCCAGACTGGGAAGAAAAGCATGTGTCACTCTTTTCTGCAGTTAAACACCAAAACCTCAAGCTGAAAGAGACACTGTTGTTCAAGTGATAGACCTCCAGTCCTGAAAACACAAAGGTAAAGCACAGAATTCCACCACTGAATGTAAACCCCAAGGGGAAGAAAGGGAAAGACAGAAAGAAAATGAGAAAGAGAGAAGGAAAAATGGAACAAAGGATGAAGGGAGGGAAAGAAGGCAGAAAGAAAGGAAGGAAAGAGGGGAGGATAGAAGGAAAGGTGCAAGAAAACAAGGAATGAACACAGAAAGGAAGAAAGGAAGTAACAAAGGCTGAGAAGGAAAGAATAAAGGCAAAAAGAGGACAGAAAGAACTAGTTTATGAAAGGCAAGAAGGAAAGAATCAACAACCTAAGGATTTCTTGCTGACTTAAAAGACAAGGATGCCTTCTTTGAACAAAGAGACCATAATAATTACTAAAACAGTGTTCCTTACTTCATTCAAATACTGCTTGCACTGAATACCCTGTGTAGGCTGGGCAGAGCATCTTATGTATATAATCCAGCCACTAAAGAAGAGAAGAGCCGCTTGGAAAAAATGCAGAGACAGCATCTCAACAGACATCCTGTGTGTGAGCCCCAGCTACTTACTCAGTAGACTATATTTAGGAGTAATACAATCTGAGACAACAACAATCTGGATGTGTGATTCCAGCTACGCAACAGTGTACAGTTAGCAGCAATATAAGCTGAGGCTGTCATGGACAAAAATGTTAGTTCTGCCTGAAATATAATAATAAAATGGAGGTATGGACACGTTCAGTTAGCGGAGGACCTTCATAGTATTTTGTATTTGTCCCAAATACAAAATCCTGAGTAGCTCTTAATCCCCACAACTGACGGACATGTTTCCCACCACATGCCTTCTGCTTACTTAAGACTTCTTCTTTTTCCTGGACTCACTGACAGGCATACACGTTTCTATTCCCTGGAAGTAAAAATTCTTTTGCTCTGACACACTAGTTCCACTCCAAAATTACTCTCAGGTGGCACTTTCCACCATGTCTACATGGGCACCGGTCAGGAAACAAGACAAGAATTCATTTGAACCTTCATTTCAACACAGTCCTCTATAATACTTTTACCATACATTTCAAGTACCTCTTAAAAGATGTCTCCAAAGAAGATGTCAATTATTCTGGTATACGAAAGCTAAGGCTCAACCATTTAAGGAATCAAGATGAGTAAGTTGGAACAGCATATAAACATGCTGAAGGTTTCCTCTTTACCTAAGTCATCCATTCCACCGTCAGATTTTATAGTGGACATCTTCATGACTTCAGGGCAAGTGTCATCTACTTTACAAGAACTGACTTCTGGTTCCATGTCCATATTCAGTCTAATGGGACCACCATGATCCAGTTTGCATGCGTCATTCACTACAGAGGTGGGAAATATATCAGAATCAACCAGCTTATATACATGAAGTAGTGCTATTTTCTTAGTCTTTTTGTCCAATACAATCTCTAATCTGACTCACAGAAAACAAAATAATTTAATAGATGTTTGAGAAAAAATTGTCCCAGCACACCACATAAGTCAAATTTCCAGTATTGCTAAATTAGGTTACAGTAAACAAAAACAAGACATATACTTTCTTTTCTTTACCCAAAGGTGCCCAGGCTGATCCTCCAATATGAACCTCCTGAATAGCTAGTATTATAGGCCTGATCCAACGGTGTTAGGCTGGGTATCCCCAATTCTTTTTTTTATTTTTATTATTATTTTTTTTTAATTGTGAAGATACTGTACAGAGGGGTTACAATTACATGGGCAAGATAATGAGTACATTTCTTTTTTTAATGTATTTTCTTTTTTCTTTTTTGTGAACATAATGTACAGAGGGGTTACAATTATATGGGCAGGATAGTGTGTACATTTCTTACCAAGCATTGCAGCCTCCTCCTTTGTTTACCCTTCACATCCCTTCCCAGCTTCCCCGCTCCCCACCCCCCCCAGTCCCAATCCTTCTTCTCCCCCCCTCCCCTCCCTGCCCCGAAGTTGTAAAGCCCGTTTTGGACATGACAAGTTGTACTTCTCATTGTTGCAACAGGTCCACCTGTATCCTTAAACGACTTGTTTTTCCCCATCTCCTCCACAAGTTATATTGACATCACATATAGTGAAAGCAGGGGTTATACTGTGGGGGAGGGACAAAGCAACAAAGAAATAATCTTATAAATGCGTTAGAAACACATGCATGAAAGAAAGAAACATTAAAATACACATCTAAGGGTTCATTTTCCTAACATCACATTATCTGACCTTTTCCGCTTGACTCATACATAATCTAGATATTGCAAATAAGGGAAACCATGGGACCTATGTTTCTTTGGGCTTGGCTTACTTCGCTTAATATAATTTTTTCCAAGTCTT